AAAAAAATTTAGGGGGCACGTGAAGTGCCGTTTTGAGACAAATCCTAGAGGGGGCTAATTGTTCGTGAACAATAGCCCATGACTACTACCCCTACTGCTATTAACATCTCCACTACCCACTACCACTTACCCAATCACTACTACGACTACCTTATATATACTACTACCGCCACTACCATCCATTTGCCGTGCCACACCACCGCACCACTACAACGATCAGCAAGCGCAGCAGCAGCAGCACCAACACACCCACAAGCATCACATCCATCAGTAGCGCGAGCAGCAGCAGCGACAGCATCACCACCAACACCGACGCCACTAGCATCATCATCATCAGTAGCAGCAGCAGCAGCGGGCAGCATCACCACCACCACAACGCCGCCGCCACCACCACTTACCACCACGACCACCACTTAACCACACCATTCCACAACGCTGCCGCCGCCACCACCACCACCACCACAACCGCTGCCCGCCGCACCACCACCCCACCATCACCCGACCACCACAACCGCTGCCGCCGCCACCACCACCACCACCACCATCCCTACCACACCACCACCCCACCACCATCCCTTACCACCACCCCGCCCACACATCCACTACCACAACCGCTGCCCCACCACCACTACCACCAACACCACCATCACCACCACCACGCACCACAACCGCTGCCGCCACCACCATCCCTACCACCACCGCCGCCGCCGCCGAGGGCACCAGAGCAGTCAACAGAATGTCCCAAGAGACTTCAATGAGTTGCCGCCAAGACACACACGCTAATGAACAATTCAAATTCAATCAGGAAACTCGGCGACAGTTATTAATAGCGTTAGGTGGCCCGAAATTTAATATTAGCGTGCAGCATTTTTAATCAGTTTCTTTTCGAGAGCGAGACCTGGTAATTAGCCGAGTAGGATCTCATTTACACAACACCATCACAGCCATCTGCCCTCTCTCTATATAATTATATCTTTCTCATCTTCTCTTTTTTCTCTCGCTATCTCCCCTCTCTCTCGACTCTCTCTCTCTTTCTCTCTCTCTCTCTCTCTCTCTCTCTCTCTCTGCTCTCTCTCTCTCCCCCTCTCTCTCTCCCCTCTCTCTCTCTTTCTCTCTTTCCCTCTCTCTGTCTCTTTATCTCTCTCTCTCTAGATACAGAGCCTCACTTTGTACTGCCTATTCTACCTTCTCACTACTCTTCTCCACATGCTATTTCTCTGTACCGCTCTCTCTCTCTCTCTCTCTCGCTCTCGCTCTCTCGCTCTCTCCCTCTCTCGCTCTCGCTCTCTCTCTCTCTCTCTCGCCTGTACTTACTATACTCTATTATGTGACTGCGCACGTGCATCCATGTCCGTGTGTGTGTGTATATGTGTGTGTATGTGTGTGTATATATCTATCTATATTATATATAATATATACATATATTTATATATATATACATTATACATAGCTTATTTAATTATGTAACACAGGAAAGAGAGAGTTTAGGAAGAAACCCCGTTCATTCCTTTAAGAGAATAAAAAACAATTTGCGAATTTGCAAACATCGGTATCATGAGTAAAGTGGTCATAATTCGCAAATAGCGTATGAGCGAATTAGTGCAACCCGAGTTAAAAGTAACGTGGGGGTATATTACCGTACATGTGTGATATAACCATGATGCAGAATTCATGCCCTTACACGCTTACATACAACGCGTTTACAATGCGTAAGGGTAGCGCACCTCCGTACACAAAGGCACAGAGCACGGAACTACATAGCAGGATATTCACTGCAAAACCACGTCGGCGCATACAACGAGAGCTAGGTTCATTTGCAAGTACATTCACTGCAACCAGGATGTTCCACATGAGAGCCTAAAAGCTTGCCATACATGTGCATGAGTCATCATCGCGTACTGTGCCTCTCCTCTACCTGCCCTCAAACACGATCTCACGACAACCTACATGCCGTTCTGCTAAGAAACATTCCCTCAAGTACACCAGTTGGAGCCATTTGCTTTCCCGCACTGTACGAGCGATATTTTTCTTTTACTTTACTTTGCTCCAAGAATTTGTCTATTTTCCCATTACACAGCACGGCATTGTGGCAATGATGATGATCGACAAACAATTGATACTGTATACTATTTATTGTTAGAGTGAGAAAGAAGCCTTACTTATAAAGAGGCCAACAACACCTCTACTTCTGTAAGCAAAAAAAAGTTTCTAGCACTGCGTGTTACACAATTTTTCATGCACACGCTGCCCAATTTCCTATCAGAGCATGCAGTTCCCACTGTACAATTGCACGAAACAGTGGCACTGCCGACACACTACAAAATGACTTGGACAAATAGAAAAACCATTACACCGCTCTTGACACTAAGACCTTAGCGGTGGTCTTGACAAGTTACACAGAGAGAGCCCAAGGCATGCCTTTACGAACATGACCCATTAAGACCGTTCAGTGGATTACTTCCACCATAGACTGGCACCACGCTGATATCCTGCATTTCTACAACTATAATCAGATCCACTAACGGGAGAATCAAGGCTGTGGCACCTTTGTCTCACGCCTGCTCCGAATTAAGACACATGCCTGCAGGCAGTGGAATATACATATATTATATCTTACGACCTTACTCTTGCTACAGTTACGTATACATAGCCACAGAGAGGTAATTAACTATCCGGCACTCCGCACGCCCATGGTGACAGTCGATACAGACAAAGAAAATACGAGATTGTTATTGCTAGGGTACGCTGTTATTACTGGATTAACCACTAGGTTATTTATAAGCAACTCGGTTACTCTTTTTATAGTATGGCTTGTATGAAATGTACATTTTAAACAAGACCATCCTTCCTACTTGGACAAATTGCTTACATACCTGTGCCAAATGACAGAAAAAGCAATAATAACCTATCCCAAATCAACACATTCCACAAATTTCACAAGATACTATATATATTACTAAGATGCATAAGATGTGTAAGCGTTATATAGCAGTTCTATAAATGCACAATTGCTGTGATCAATCACTTTTTTGATGTCTGCAGTGGAAACCCCAAGCAGCTGCCTGCCTTGCTGCCCCACCGAAACCCAATCCCCCGTACAGTAAGAGACTCCCGTGTCCTGTGCACAAGATGCTAACTGCAAAACATCGTCCCGCAAAGCTGCGGCAGATTAAATGCCATTTCACTCGGCAAACTTCTGTCTGCAGTCTCGCATGCAGCAGGCTTTCATCCAAAATTTCAACTGCTTATATGCATTCAGGGCAATTGTAAAGTTATTAATTAAATTTTATTTAATTAAAAACTTGAAGAACTTCAATTACCTAACTTAGTTTAATTTAAGTCAAATTTTAACACAACTTTCAACGTTACCTTCCGTTAAAGCGGGTATGTACAAGAGGGTATCATCACTGCCTGTGCTGCCACGCATGATGGTGAAGAAAGATGAGATTTAGATGTTTATTTCTGTATCGTGACCTTAGCCAGAACTGCTGCTTCATATATCACTGTGCAGCCTATTTACAAATCACTAAATTCAACTATATTCAATTACATTTGATATAATTGCCATCCTATTGAACACTCTATCCAACTAATACATTTCTGATAAATTCAAGCCTAGATATAGTTTCTTCAAATACCTCGGGAGAAATGGGTTTATATTCAGAAATATTTCATGAAGGGAGATGTTAAGTAATGCATGATCATGGATGTGTTTATCGATTCCTGTTTGTTTTGACTTTTCAGAGCATTTTAACCAAATGTGGCTTTGCTTTAAATCATATCCTTGTCCTGCTGTTTTCAAGTTTGTGTTAGAAATGTAATACCAGACTCATGAATTTTCTGAGCAGGATCATTGACATTACAACACTTTCGGTAAAAAATGATGTCCGGTTCCAACAATTCTGACTGCCCATCTTGTGATAGCAACATCCACATCAGAATACTCATGCAGTCTCATTACTACAGTGCAGTATACATCTCGTTCCTGATATGCCTATCGTTGAAAATAGTAAACATACAACATCAGCATTTTGCATCAGCTGATTTCAGTAGATTAACAGCTTATCCAATTTTGACACTAGTCTGTTAAATTTGTATAAAAAGGACAAAAATCAATGAATATAACAAAAAGGAGTGTAAGAGCCAAAAAATTGTGATGCAAAGTGTATGCACAGCACTGCTGTTATTAATTGTAGTAACCACACATATTTTGCCCCCATCACATCCTCAAATGTACAAATTTAGACGGCAGCAGTCTCCAGACTAGGGGAATCCTATAAGACATCTCTCGCATCCATACCGTGTGAGCTGCGTGCATGGCGTACATCTAAGATTTAGATGGGAATATATATGTGCACCTAATACTAATAGTTTAAAGATGTCACGCAATGACATTATGTGCATGCATTATGTGGGCAAATCGCTCCAAAGGCAAAGGTTGATGATCACTTTGCAGGCGTGTAGGTGTACCACCGAAAAATCGATGTCCACAACACCTGAATCATGAATGTAATATAAAAATTTGCACGTGCAAGTGCCATGTTCTGTCGATTGAGATGGTAGTGGTATGTGTTACTGTTACGCTATCACATTCGTGTGTGCAAACTTGAAAAATGTTTAACAATAGCTTACTGCACGCACGATTCGTATTACTGATGTCACGATGGGTTCTGTCACCATGTCATAAATGTCAGAGCACAAAAACATTACTTACACAGTTCAAGTTACAGTTGGTAGGTACTCAGTCTTACGATCAAACTTGTAAATGAAATAAATATGCACGCGAATTCCCAGATATATTTATATATACATAACAGCATGGGGCAACACGGCAATAAATAAGTAACGGATTGTGCGATTACGATATATGACACATGATACGACACGTTTTCATCTACACTCAGCACTGTACACATTCATAGACACACACGATGTACATAATTTAATAGAAACCAGCCGGACTTTCCAAGTCGCAGAACCTCCTAAATATTATAACATACCTTCAGATAGTTCCAATTCCAGTTCCGCTAACCTTTCTCTTACGTCTACAGGCAGAGCTGCAAAATCAAACTGTTGTTCTGCCATTTGAGGATCGTTTTAATCGCCGATGCCAGCATAAGTTATCAACAGCCATCAATATTCACATCTTCAAACCACACCTCGTCTCGCGAGATTTTTCGAGCAGCCAGTGTAATATAGAGATCGTTATTCAGCAGTATGAGGGATATCTGTGTCAGTTTATAACTGAATAATGTCTTTGCTGTACGAACAATTTTTCTATAAACATTTGAAAAAAACATAACTATATAAACTCGTAATATGTCTATTTAATAATTAATTATTAACGATAAAACGCTCATTATTTTGACGTATAAATATCACTTTAGTTATTGCACAAACTCTGGACACCATCACTGATCAGTTAGCCAGCGCGGGTTTATGTCTCTTACTTTTTAGATTTCTGTTGTTCATTTCTCTTGTAATATTCAAGTGGCATTCTGTTATAATATGAAGTTTCCGTTATTTAGTCCGGGCAAATCACCATGTTTACAAGGAAACACCGAGGTAGACACTTTACTGTATAACCGCGTAGGCAGACGGTTTCGTGTTTGTTGTGTTGTGTGTGTTGTGTTGTTGTGTTGACTGTTGTGTTGTGTGTTCGTGTTTGTTGGCAGACGGTTTCGGCCAGCGGCAGTTAATGTAAGCGGGCTATAGTACTAGAGCTAGTTTCGTGTTTGTGCGTAAGCCTGGCGCGTTTACAAACCTAGGAGTCGTATGTCGTAAATATTAGTTTTAGTTTCGCAGTGGCTAGTGGTACGGTAGCCGTCGTTCGTTGAAGCCCCTTTTTGGCGTTAGGGTTAGGGTTAGGGTTCTAGCTCATCTAAACTCTCAAATCGTGAATTTATTTCCCAAGGCGTTATTTCGAAGTTTGGCGCCACCGCCGCCATCTTTGTCTCGTTAAGTATGAAAGCGAATGGAATGGACTCCCGTACCCGTAGCCTTGAGAGATTAAGATACGGCTACCGTACCCGTAGCCACTGCCTATTAGTATTACTAACATTATTAGTCTTCAAAGTCTAAGGGACTAGTAGTAGTATAACAAAGGCGAAATATTAGGTCCGTTTCACGGATTCACCTGCATAATTCATTTACATTGCTTAGTTTGCTAGTATGTATAACGGAAATAGTGAGGAAATCATGCTACGTAACATAGTCAGTGTAGAGTTTAAGTAGGCCCTAGTCACTTATGCTCGGCGCACACCTCATAACCTCATAAGTGTTAATCTTCAAAAGTCCTGGGGACTATAACGAAGATGGAGAGAGAAGTGGATCAAGTCGGTAGATCCACACTGCGGATCGCAGCGGGAAAAGTTGTAAATTTGCTATTTACAGTCTTCACGAATGAAATTTCTAAACACTGGACCTTCGGTCCACCAAGCCAGCAAAATTTACTGGACCGGACTAAATTTTACTGGACCAATATTATTTTGACATTTTTGACAATAAAGAACAAAACAGTAATATCATTTTGTATTTTACCTATAATAATACCTTTACACACTGCTATGATAACAGTAGTAATACCTATCAAATATACATCACATGCCTTCTACACATGCACTACAATAAAAGCTGCAAAATAGAACAACAAATCTGCGTTAGTCGTCAGTGAGCATGTATCACACATACCTTCTACACACTGCTATGATAACAGTAAGGATACCTATCAAATATACATCGCATACCTTCTACACACTGCTATGATAACAGTAGTAATACCTATCAAATATACATCACATGCCTTCTACACATGCACTACAATAAAAGCTGCAAAATAGAACAACAAATCTGCGTTAGTCGTCAGTGAGCATGTATCACACATACTGATACCTTCTACACACTGCTATGATAACAGTAAGGATACCTATCAAATATACATCGCATACCTTCTACACACTGCTATGATAACAGTAGTAATACCTATCAAATATACATCACATGCCTTCTACACATGCACTACAATAAAAGCTGCAAAATAGAACAACAAATCTGCGTTAGTCGTCAGTGAGCATGTATCACACATACCTTAATTCTACACACTGCTATGATAACAGTAAGGATACCTAGATAACAGTAATTTGATGCATGCGTCATTTTACTCACGTGTGCGGCGGATTTTTGTTGAGTAATTTGACTCATGCGTCATTTTACTTGAGTAAATAACTCACGTGTCATTAAGGCTTCTTTAAGGCCCGCTTATGTCGGCCTTACGACCTAGTCGCCGACAAGATTTGAATATCGTACGTCAAAACCGCCAGATCGCCGATAAAACATCGGCGACCAAACTCGCACATGAGTTCTCTTACGATCGAAAATACGGTCGCGCGACTGCGATCGCAGGGAATAGAAATGTTCTATTTCTATGCGGCTGTCGCGACAAATCGTGAGTGGCAGCCAATCACCGCAGCGTGTCGAGTCATGATTATCAAAAGTCACGTGATAATAAAATGGCAGCCTACACGCCACTCGTCAGCAGTTTACAAGGAGGGATTATTACACAAACCCTTTCTCAAATATATATTAAGTTTTTCGGTATATCACATAAAAAAAATTTCTGCACATGATTATAACGTGTCAGAAAATTGAGAATAGATTTACGAAGTTACATGATGTTTACTGGTAAGCGCCATTTTGTTGGTCATACGTGACTCGTTTGATGTAGACTGGTCCCGGCGTCAAGCTTGCTCTGTTTGTGCTAAAGAACTGCTTGTGCTAGTACAATACTGGGCGCCGAACCCGTCTACGTTTCATGCAGGAACGCTACGATGTGATCGGCGATGTGCAGCTGTGTCCTAAGTCGACATGAGTGTTGCTACGCCTGCTAATCGGCGCTAAAGTAGTCGCGCGATAGTAAAATCGTAGACCGACCTGAGCGGGCCTTAAGCAGAAGGAATGCAATTTTCATCATGGTGAGATGAAAATTGGCATTCCTCTTGGCTTAATGAAGCCTGTTCGCTGCACCCGCTCATCTGAGCGTGATCACTGTTTTCGGCATGTACAAACTTCTAAGGATCCTTTAAGTTTAGCTTCTTTGTCTCTGTGATTCCGTATTGGAATTCACTGCTTCATCCTTAGTAAATAGCAAATTTACAACTTTTTCCGCTGCGATCGCGCAGTGTGGATCTACCGACTTGATCCACTTCTCTCTCCATCTTCGTTACAGTCCCAGGACTTTTTGAAGATTAACACTTATGAGGTTATGAGGTGTGCGCCGAGCATAAGTGACTAGGGCCTACTTAAACTCTACAATGACTATGTTACGTAGCATGATTTGCTCACTATTTCCGTTATACATACTAGCAAACTAAGCAATGTAAATGAATTATGGCGGGTGAATCCGGTGAAACGGACCTAATATTTCGACTAATAAATATATAGACTAATAATAATATAGACTAATAACTATAGACTAATAGACTAATAATAATATGACTAATAATGTTAGTAATACTAATAGGCAGTGGCTACGCGTGCGGTAGCCGTATCTTAATGTCTCGAGCTACGGTACGCGGAGTCCATTCGCTTTCATACTTAACGAGACAAAGATGGCGGCGGTGGCGCCAAACTTCGAATAACGCCTTGGGAAATAAATTCAGATTTTGAGAGTTTAGATGAGCTAGAACCCTAACCCTAACCCTAACGCTAACGCCAAAAAGGGGCTTCAACGAACGACGGCTACCGTACCTCTAGCCACTGCGAAACTAAAACTATATTTACGACATACGACTCCTAGTTTGTAAACGCGCCAGGTTTACGCACAAACACGAGACTAGCTCTAGTACTATAGCCCGCTTACATTAACTGCGCGCTGGCCGAAACCGTCTGCAACAAACACGAACACACAACACACACAACCCAACAACACAACAACCAACACAACAAAGACCCGTCTGCCTACGCGTTTATACAGTAAAGTGTCTACCTCGGTGTTTCCTTGTAAAATGGTGATTTGCCCGGACTAAATGACGGAAACTTCATATTATAACAGAATGCCACTTGAATATTACAGAGAAATGAACAACAGAAATCTAAAAGTAAGAGACATAAACGCGCGCCTCGCTCGATCAGTGATGGTGTCCAGAGTTTGTGGCAATAACTAAAGTGATATTTATACGTCAAAATAATGAGCGTTTATCGTTAATAATTAATTTATTAAATAGACATATTACGAGTTTATATAGTTATGTTTTTTTCAAATGTTTATAGAAAAATGTTCGTACAGCAAAGACATTATTCAATTATAAACTGACACAGATATCGCTCATACTGCTGAATAACGATCTCTATATTACACTGGCTGCTCGAAAAATCTCGCGAGACGAGGTGTGGTTTGAAGATGTGAATATTGATGGCTGTTGATAACTTATGCTGGCATCGGCGATTAAAACGATCCTCAATGGCAGAACAACAGTTTGATTTGCAGCTCTGCCTGTAGACGTAAGAGAAAGGTTAGGGCGAACTGGAATTGGAACTATCTGAAGGTATGTTATAATATTTTAGGAGGTTCTGCGACTTGAAAGTCCGGCTGGTTTCTATTAAATTATGTACATCGGTGTGGTCTATGAATGTGTACAGTGCTGAGTGTAGATGAAAACGTGTCGTATCATGTGTCAATTCGTAATCGCCCAATCCGTTACTTATTTATTGCCGTGTTGCCCCATGCTGTTATGTATATATAAATATATCTGGGAATCGCGTGCATATTTATTTCATTTACAAGTTTGATCGTAAGACTGAGTACCTACCAACTGTAACTTGTATTTGTAAGTAATGTTTTTGTGCTCTGACATTTATGACATGGTGACAGAACCCATCGTGACATCAGTAATACTAAATCGTGCGTGCAGTAAGCTATTGTTAAACATTTTTCAAGTTTGCACACACGAATGTGATAGCGTAACAGCAACACATACCACTGACATCTCAATCGACACGAACATGGCACTTGCACGTGCACATTTTTATATTACATTCATGATTCAGTTGTTGTGGACATCGATTTTTCGGTGGTACACCTACACTCCTGCCAAAGTGATCATCAACCTTTGCCTTTGGAGCGATTTGCCCACAATAATGCATGCACATATGTCATTGCGTGACATCTATAAACTATTAGTATTAGGTGCAATATATATTGCCATCTAAATCTTAGATTTACGCCATGCACGCAGCTCACACGGTATGGATGCGAGAGATGTCTTATAGGATTCCCTTAGTCTGGAGACTGCTGCGTCTAAATTTGTACATTTGAGAATGTGATGGGGGCAAAATATATGGGGTTGCTACAATTAATAACAGCAGTGCTGTACATACACTTTGCAATCACAATTTTTTGGCTCTTACACTCTTTTTTGTATATTCCTTGATTTTTGTACTTTTTATACAAATTTAACAGACTAGTGTCAAAATTGATAAGCTGTTAATCTACTGAAATCAGCTGAAAAAATGCTGATGTTGTATGTTTACTATTTTCAACGATAGGCATATCAGGAGCGAGATGTATACTGCACTGTAGTAATGAGACTGTATGAGTATTCTGATGTGGATGTTGCTATCACAAGATGGGCAGTCAGAATTGTTGGACGCGGACATCATTTTTTACGGAAAGTGTTGTAATGTCAATGATTGCTCAGAACATGAGTCTGGTATTATATTCCTAAAACAAATTTGAAAAACAGCAGGACAAGGATAGTGATTTAAAGCAAAAGCCACATTTGGTTAAAATGCTCTGAAAAGTCAAAACAAACAGGAATGCGATAACACATCCATGATCATGCATTAATTAACATCTCCCTTCATGAAATATTTCTAAATATAAACCCATTTCTACGAGGTATTTAAAAAACTATATCTAGGCTTGAATTTATCAGAATGTATTAGTTGGATAGAATGTTCAATAGGATGGCAATTCTATCAAAAGTAATTGAATATAGTTTAGTGGATTTGTAAATAGACTGCACAGTGATATATGATGCAGCAGTTCTGGCTAAGGTCAGATACAGAAATAAACATCTAAATCTCATCTTTCTTCACCACCATGCGTGGCAGCAAGGCAGTGATGATACCCTCTTGTACAAATCATCACCAATGATGCGCATTTTTTTTATTTAAAGCATTTATTAACTTGTAATTACTAATAGTAATAGTATTCAACTGCAAACAGTTATATGACGGATATTAAAATCCGCTTTAACGGAAGGTAACGTTGAAAGTTGTGTTAAAATTTGACTTAAATTAAACTAAGTTAGGTAATTGAAGTTCTTCAAGTTTTTAATTAAATAAAATTTAATTCATAACTTTACAATTGCCCTGAATGCATATAAGCAGTTGAAATTTTGGATGAAAGCCTGCTGCATGCGAGACTGCAGACAGAAGTTTGCCGAGTGAAACGGCATTTATCTGCCGCAGCTTTGCGGAGACGATGTTTTGCAGTTAGATCTGTGCGCAGGACACGGGAGTCTCTTACTGTAGCGGGGGATTGGGTTTCGGTGGGGCAGCAAGGCAGGCAGCTGCTTGGGGTTTCCACTGCAGACATCAAAAAAGTGATTGATCACAGCAATTGTGCATTTATAGAACTGCTATAACGCTTACACATCTTATATGCATCTTAGTAATATATATAGTATTTTGTGAAATTTGTGGAATGTGTTGATTTGGGATAGGTTATTATTGCTTTTTCTGTCATTTGGCACAGGTATGTAAGCAATTTGTCCAAGTAGAAAGGATGGTCTTGCTTAAAATGTACATTTCATCAAGCCATACTATAAAGAGTAACCGAGTTGCTTTATAATAACCTAGTGGTTAATCCGTAATAAAGCGTACCCTAGCAATACCAATCTCGTATTTTCTTTGTCTGTATCGACTGTCACCATGGCGTGCGGAGTGCCGGATAGTTAATTACCTCTCTGTGGCTATGTAAGTATCTGTAGCAAGAGTAAGGTCGTAAGATAATATATGTATATTCCACTGCCTGCAGGCATGTGTCTTAATTCGGAGCAGGCGGAGACAAGGTGCCACAGCCTTGATTCTCCTGTTAGTGGACCTGATTATAGTTGTAGAAATGCAGGATATCAGCGTGGTGCCAGTCTATGGTGGAAGTAATCACTGAACGGTCTTAATGGGTCATGTTCGTAGGCATGCCTTGGGCTCTCTCTGTGTAACTTGTCAAGACGCACCGCTAAGGTCTTAGTGTCAGAAGCGGTGTAATGATTTTTTCTATTTGTCCAAGTCATTTTGTAGTGTGTCGGCAGTGG